ATTAAAATTATTCGAGATTGGAACCTATCTCTAATCATCACTTCACCTAATCATGCATATATTTTAGTCATGTGCCCTAACCGCGTATTCTAACCGCGTGCCCTAACCGTATTCTTCAGGCCAGTTGAATCTTTTCTACTTTTCATTGATCCTGGCCACTTTCTTTCTCGATCTCTCATCAGAGATTGAAGAAGGAGATAATTACTCCTTCTTTTGCCAGATAATTACCGGCAAAAGAGCGTGAAATATTTGCGCTCATTTAGCGATCATTTAACGATCGTTCGTTAAATATTGAATATAATTTTATTTTAATTGAAATAAAGCCAAATTACTACAAATTTTTATAAATTTCTATAAATTATATTTTATAATAAAATATAAAATTTATGTGTGTATTTATCATATTACAAATTATTTAAATAATTAATCATTTGGCTTTATATTAAGTTAAAATAAAGTTTAAAAACAATATCTACAAATAAATTCTACGATGGATGAGCTATGAGAAATTAGAAGAAAGTGCGTATTATAAGAATAAATTAGCATCAAAAATTGATAAAATTGATAAAATTGATAATTGTTAATGCGTGTCCTTTATTTAATAAATTAGATAAAATTTTTACAAAAAAATCTTTTCTTGATCTCTCTTTTTTTAATTAATATTTCAATATATTTTCGCGATAGATGCAAAGCGTAAGTTCGAAAAAACTTATTAAAATTATTTAATATAATTTAATTAATTTAATTTAATTTAATTATTTAATTTAATTTATTTAATTTAATCCATCCTAGCTCATCCATTCTAAGACAACGGATTTATTTACAATCTACAATTTACATCTACATCTACATCTGCAATCTCTATGAATCCGTTACCTTAAAGTTAAATAAAAGTTTTTTTTCACTCACCGGCACTGATGCGCAACAGCGGAATTGTTGTTATCGAAGCTAGTTGTCTGTAACATATAAATATAAAATTCATTTATAATAATGCTCATAAAATGCAATTAATGTTTAAAAAAATTTTTATCGCGCGGAATTTTATATTCGATGTGTAAAATAATAAGCAGATAAACACATATGGAAAAATTTTATAAATTTTTGAAACTGTTTTATGAATAGAAAATTTTATATGACTTTCATAAAAATCTTTCATTTAATTCATTTAAATAATAAGATCGAATTATTATTCGTTTATAACAAGTTAACAATTTATAACAATTAATATATAAATAATAATATTCACCATCAGGTTGTTCCGCCGGTGCAAGATGCCTCTCCCAGGCCTCCTCCTCCTCTCATGTTGGCGCTTGATACTTTGACGACACTCTCGCACTCGCGAGCGATATTTTTATATCGCTATTTTCGTTATTTTACGCGCGATACTGAACGGCACTCCCGCACTATTTCGATGCGATTAAAAATTTTATATTTAATCGCGCGATGTATATACTTAATATGTATATACCTTTAACGGCACTCCCTAATATATATATACCTAACGCGACGCGTTGACGAAGCGCTTGCCGTCCGCGGCACATTGACGGCACCGACGACGCGAAAGGGTACTTGGCTTCCCATTCAGGCACCTTAAGATTTATCATAAATTGGAAAATTTAAGATAAATCTCAAGGCATCGTCCAGGTACTAAGCCCTCTCACCACGACAAGGTGTACCCCATGGGAGGGTTATATTATATTATATATAATTTTATATATAATATAATATATAATTAATTTTGTAATATACTATATAAATTTTAATTCGCAAATATAAACGATAAATAAAAATATAAAACATAAGAGAAACTCTATTATATAAAGCAATGTTCAAAATAATTGTTAGAGAAAGAATTTGATAATATATGGAACGTCTCACATCACTATCTCACTGTTCGAAGGCCACTGAAGGATTGATCGTAAATCAGAAACATTACCGCGGTACTGTTTATATCGCCAAGGTTGACTGTAGAGAGAGAATTTGATAATATATGAAACATCACTACTTTATTGTTCAAGATTATTGTGCGAATGATCGTATATCATAAAACGTCGTTGAAATATTCCATGAATGATTGTCGATTAAGAAAATGTAAAGCATTGGTCGAAATTTATTTAATTTTAATAAGTATTATTAGAGAAATTATTATAATAAGCATCAACAATCGAAAGATCATAATCAAATTAATTTCTTTATCCCTTTTTATGTTCCCTTTTTCAATTTTTATTCGCAGTAATTAATGATTGCGATTCGAAAAGATATATATCGTTGCGATACATTTTCATGATCTTTATCATAAGTTAATAATAATAATTAATTTTTATAAATTACTCACCGCATATCTCTCTGATTGCTTCAGGCTCTTTCACTGCTCTCTGAGTGTCCGATACTTGTCCTTTTTTTTTCTTCTTCATCCTTTTCCTCACTTATATTCACTCGCGAACAAACAATTAATTATATTTAGTCATATACTATAGAAACGATCGCGAGACTTTTGCACGGCACTTTCGAAATCGCGGAATAATTACGAGAAACGCACATTAATATATCTTATAAGGGATAAAGAAGTACGATTCGCTCTACAATAATCGTAGCGAATTATATTTCAATACTAATCGCGATCGCGTTTAGGAAAAGAATTCAATAATACGAAGCGTTTTGTATCACTACTTTGCCGTTGGAATGTCGTGTGAATAATACAAAGTCGTCTATGTATTTATAATTTTTGTCTCTTTTGTTTCAATTTTTATTTGAAATAATGAAGGATCGCGTTTCGATGGATGTATCATCGCCATATAGTTTTATGTTATTTATTAAGAGTTAATTAATTGTTAATTGTAATAGTCGTAGTGAATTAGATTTCGATATTAATCGCGATCACACTGTTAGAAAAAGAATTCAACAATACGAAGTGTTCCGTATCACTACTTTACTACTGGGATGTCGCCGTGCGAATGATACAAGGTCTTCGCCTATGAAAACAATACAGCGCTACGTTATCAAAGTCGAACGTCGTGTTATTGACCTCGCTGCCGAAATATTTTACGCGTACTATGACGTACATATACGAAAATTGAATTTATATACAAGTATATTTTTAAAGTCTTACACACACATATACACACAGATTAATTATTTATTAAACGATTAATATACATCACATGCCTTTCCATTGCGATAATTATTCGATTTTGCCATTCGATCGTTTTACTGCGCGTTCTCAGATGAATTATATATATTTAAATCATCACATAATTATATGATAAAGCATCGGACGAAATATTCTTAATTATAAATATTAAAAAAAGAATAATTATTGTTCCTAAGGATTGCGACAAAATGATAATTTATAATTTTGATTCCGGTCACACACGTCGATTCTTAATTGTATTCGATTCTTTTTATACGTTTAACGTTTTGATGTTATTTATCACCCTTTCTTGAGAGATAAATTTGCGTTGCGGGTTTGGTCAATTTCACACATTTTCAAATTTTAACTCGGAGGGGGGTTCATTTGCGGATCCATGTTCATAAGAAAAAAAAGTCTTATTTTGACATCTAGAATACGCTCTTAAAGTTTAGTGTATTTCAGATACATCCTGTATATGTTATATTAATTATATTAATATTTTTGAATAAAATGAAAGAAAAAGAAACAATAATTAAGAAAATAGAAAAAAGACAACTACAATGATTTGAATATCTGAAACTCTCTCTCCTCCTCCTCCTCCTCCTCCTCCTCCTCTCTCTCTCTCTCTCTCTCTCTCTCTCTCTCTCTCTCTCTCTCTTTGAGTGATTTGAATATTTATACCCGAGAGAACAAATGTCCATAGAAAATATTTCGATGGACTTCATAGGAAGGAATAAGCATGATAAATAATGATAATCCTTATGATTTTAACACAAAGGAATACAATAAACCATATAATAATCCAAGAACTCGAAGAAGAGAATATATTGGATAGAAATGCATAGTGATTGATGATTAGAAACTAAAAGATAGTATGCATACAATCTATTTATTAATAGTAATACTATTTTGTAATTGTATTAAATTTTATAATTTAGCACATTGTATTATATAAAGTATTAAGCATAAAAATATTATGCTGATATAAAAATTATAATAAAAATATATAAATAATGTTGACTATATTAAAATGGAACATATGAATTCTTTATATTTTGTATAAAGGAAGAGACATTTAAAATATTTTACAATATCTACATTTTTCGAATCTTAATTATAAAAACTTTAGAAGAATCAGTGATTAATTGGAAATTCTATACATGTATAATAATTAAATTTTTAAATAATTAAAAAAATCATTAATATCAAAGAGAATTAAAAAAATGATAAATCAAAGATCAGTTTACTGCTAATTAAGATTGATAGAAATAAAGTTAAAAATGTTTTTATTTCACAGCAGGCATTTTGTGTTTTGTGAATAAAAATATATAAATATGGCAATGAATAGAGAAAAATATTTCTTCTTTGAATATTACATTGGAAGATTACAGTATCTTTTGCGATTGAATAATTTATTTGCTATCAATTTATATACATAAATGTCTTGTTATACTCTGGTACTATCGGCATTTTGTGCACGTAGCACGGAAAGAAACCAGAAATTGTGCACATTATATATTACCCTCTGAGAACATTCATGGACATTGGCTTTGTAGTTCATGTCCACGTTTTCAATGTCCATAGAGGGAGTATCGCTTTCAGGGATCACCTAAAAGCAGACCATGACATCTCTTAGTCTTCTCTCTGATAGATGACGCTTGTGACAACGAACTCAACAGTGGACAACATTACTAGATTTTCTAATGTAATTCGATGCTGATTGGTCGGATCTAAAAGTAAAAACCAATCATGTTCGATTGCTACTTAGCGGTTGAGTCCGCTGAATGCGGCCAATGTTGTGGCGACACTTTGTATATCTAGTTACTTTAATAAAGATAAATGTTCATCAATCTAGAATCTAGATATGCTATGGTTTAAACATCTATGTTTTTAATATAACCTCGTTTCTGCAGAGTAAAGTACAAAATATGTATGAATGAAAGTAATTAATTATAAATCACAGAGTATGTATAAAAAATGTTTGAAGTGATAATATTTCTTTAAATGAAGCTTGGAGTTTATGTTTTGTATTTACGATCTATCAGTGTTGTAAATCTGACAGAATTAATTTCGAATTTCACACGATTTCTAATGTATGTTATCACATTATAAATTTATTTTATTAATTCTGTAATGTACATTGAAATTGTCAGGATAGCAATAATAATTGATTACGAGGGTAAAGAATTTATCTCGATGCATGATGATCAGTACTTCTGCTATATGAAATTAATCATCACAGATGTAATTATATATTAATATTTAATGATTAATTAATATTTAATATTTTTATAATTTGTCATCATATATGTAGTTTGTTTTAAATTGTGTATATATATATGTTAAATTTATAATAAAATAGATTTCTAAAAGATTTTATAATAATATAAATATGTATAAAATAGATTTATATGTTGTTATTATATTATTTATAGATTTTATTGATTGATATAAGGTTATATAATAAAGCAATTAAATTTCATAAATAAACATTTTTTATGTTTGTATATGCAAATGACAATTGTCATAGGTTTACATATGTATGTATGTATGTATGTGTGTGTGTGTGTGTGTGTGTGTGTGTGTGTATGTGTATGCATATGTAGGATAAAATTTCTTAAATGTGATATTTTAAATGCTATTGCTCATTGGTTTTTAATATTTTTTTTATTTTAATATGTAAAATTACTGTTACATTATATCAAAATTATAAAAATTATTCTTTACAGATGAGTGATATTATATGTGGAAAAAGAAGAAGTATTGTAAGGAGAATAGGTTCTTTTTTACCTCTGAGGCCACCACCAAAAATATATGTCAGTGTAACACCATTACATTCGATGACAAGTTCAATGATTAATGAGGAAACTAGTAACACTTATGTCGATACAAATGGATATGGTTCTATGAGGTCAGCAATTTGATTTGTCAAATTATGATTAAATCTTCACAAGCTTTTCTTTATTTACAACCATATATGTGGATATATACATATAAAATATATGCAAATATGCATGATATATGCATAGTTATATAAATAAACAAAAAAAAAAAATTTATATATATATATATATTTATTCATATTATATATATATATATATATATATATATATATATATAATATAAAATATTTGATATAGAGTATTATTATATTTCTCATGGAAAAATAAGCATCTTCTTTGTAGCAAAATTTTTGGAAATGCATTATTTTTGAGATTATTTTTGGTCATGTTCGATCCCGGCCTGCGGTAATTTCTTTTTTTCATTTCTTTTTAACGCGAAACCTGCAATATTTTCATATGCATGCAAATATATACCATCGAAATATTTACGCAGTATTATGTATTAGTTGATTTTGTATTAGTTGATTTTGTTGAATGATTTTGTTGAATTTTATAGAACATTTAAATAGATTCTTGTAATCAAGGGAGTAAACACAAAATAATTACTTAGGGTTTGATTCGTTCCATTGAGATAAATTATGAAGCATGAAGAAGTAAAATGTCAAAATTTGAAGTCTTAATTGAAACTATTTATCCCATATTCAATTTTGATCCGACAGAATATGTGTGTGTGCAAAGTTGAATGAAAGTAATATCATGTATTGGAATTTAAATTCTTTGAATTATTCTAAGAAAAAGTTTTTCGCGAATGCATTTAATAGAATGATTTTCTAAGAGAAAGTTTCTTATGAACACATTATTTGATTCTCTGAATACAATGCTTAGTCGCATCTTATATATTAGTTAATTATGAATTATATAATAAATTATAATAAATAACTCTCTTTAAAAGATTTATAATAATGTTGGTTATTTACCATAATTCTACATAATTGGATTGTTGATTTTTATTAATCTTTTAGAACTTAATTTAGAACATTATTTCTATTGATTGAATAGTATAAAATTACAATATAAAAAAGAACCTCACAAAGTTTTTATTTGACAAATATTTTTGAAAATATAAAAATTTAAAAATATAACAAATAATGAAATAATGTAGCCTTCAAATTCCTATTTTTCGCTTTTCATTCAAAATTAACTACAAACTATATGGACATACAGAATTTAATTAAGATCTAGTATAAGTGTGCGTGCATGCATATGTATATTTATTGAAATATTATCATATGCGATATTATTATCATTCTACAATTTAAGGCTTTCCAGTAGTAGACCAGATCTACTACAACCAATTAGTTTTGGATCTGAAGTAAGATTACTTGCGTTGGAACAAGAGTTGCAAGAGCTTAGAGAACAAATCTCAACAATTGTAAAAAATAATAAACTGTCTAAGTGTACGTAGAAAAAAAAAAAAATATATATATATATATATATATATATATATATATATATATTCTTATACTCAAAAAATAATCAAAAAGATTTATTAATAAAAAAATTTAGAGATCTACCTCTTATAGATGCATCTGTTACATCTTTACCCAGTGGAGCAGACAAAGGAAAATCTTTGACAATATCACCACCACCTCCACCTCCTCTTCCGCCGCCTACAACACCACATATCGCGAGAAGAGCTAGTCTGCAAGATCATAAAATTGAGGAGCGCAAAAAAATTCCACTGAATGCGCAGAAATCAACAGATAATATACTTAAAGATATCGATAATATAAAATTAAAATCAATTGCAAGGTAATTTATTAATGTGTGATATTTTATAATTTTTTAATGCAGCATTACTTTACGATATAAAAAGTAAAAAAATATGTAAATTTTCTCCTTGCATTTTACGAAAAACTCGAAATAAATTAATTTTATTAATATATTAATATATTATAATTTATTAAATAGATTTATGTATTTTTCAGTTTAAAAAATCATTTAATTAAATTAAAAAATAAGCTCTATAAACATTTGATTGAATGTCAAAGTTCTATCATAAAGTCATTAAAAACTTATAATACATATAGATTGAATTATGTTTCTTTACTGATAATAAATTTTTAACTAATTTATGTCTATTGAATATGAATTATTTATAGATATGAAATGTTACATGAGAATTTAATTTTAACACATAATGCTAGGAAAAAATTTATTTGATTTCTAGTTTCTAATGTTAGAACTAAGTACACCTTAGAAGCTAGGAACTATAATAAATTTTATAGAATAAAATAAAATGATGTTATATCAATTCACAGATCTCCAGGTGGACATTCTATTCGGATAAAACGTGAAAATAGTCCATGTAATGATTTGCAGGAAATTTTACGCAGACGATACATCGCAATGCAATCTCCCAACAATAGGAATTCATCAGTTAACTTAACTATAGACAATTTGTTTTGAACACTATATGTGTGTGACAATATTCTGGAGTATTTTCATTGTATGTATATGTTGAAATTTAGAACTTCACAAGCAAGCACTCTCTTGTGACACACATACACACACACTGAAGCATATATATACAGGATGGTTTAAAAGTTTAGAAACGACCAATTATTTTCGAAAATAGTGGTTCTATGGGAAAATATTTTCAAAAAAGTTTAAAACGATCTATTTATTGATCTCATCAATTTAATCTTGGATGACGTTGTCAAAGTTAGGGCAAGTCGCCTTAAATTTTTTAAAATCCTATATTCTTGTAACTTACTTTGAGAGCTTTCTAAACTGCTATAATTGAGTTATATTTTATTAAGTATTTCTTTTATAAGATGAAATAATTTTGGTAATTATTTACATTAACGATATCTCGCCGATGAGCTTGATCTTTACATATGTTGTAGAGATGAGGTTGCTGATTGATGAATTTTTCTCTTTATTTTATTTGGTGGTCTCTTATAGTTTTTGAAATATTTAACAAAAAAGGTTTTTTGTGTGTGTGCGCGCGCGCATGGGGAAGACATATGCAATAAAAAATTGGGGTTTCCATTTTAAAAAATCATGTTGGCCTTAACTTTGCCTTAACCCCTTCACTCAAGGTCAAACGGATATGATCATTGAATAGAACTTTTAAAACCCTACAACTTTGATTGGAAACATTTTTGTCAGAAACGTTTTGTTTTCGAGATATTTGACCATTTCCAGACTTTTCTAACACCCTGTATATAATATATATAGCTTGCTGCGATCACTAATAATAATAATGATTATGTGAGTGAGTGAGTGAGTGAGTGAGTAGAAAAGAGAAAAAGAGACAAAATGTGTGTCCGCGCGCGTACGTGTGTGTTTGTGTGTAATAAAAATTGTAGTATCGTTTGCAATGAATACAATGATGTATGATTTAATGTAAATATTTTACATATTGAATGAATTTTATTAGTTTGAAATATTGTGTAGTATCTTTTCATTTTCAATTCTGTCCTTCCGGAGAGCGTCTGTCTTCTTCATACATCCCAGCAAACATCAAATAACAGTTATATAAGTGTTAGTTGCAATTTCCCACTCAACAATATAACTGTTATATAACTTACATGTTATATAACAGTTATATTGTTGAGAGAGAAATTGCAACTAACACTTATATAACTGTTACTTAGTGTTTGCTGGGATGTTACAGTTCTTTAGAATCTCTTTTGTTGTAATACATATTATGAATTCGAATAATTGATCATATGAGAAAAAAAACTATTTCACACACTGAAAATGTTTATCATAAATAAATATTTTTAGTGTAAAATAGTTTTTTCTATTATGATCAATTATTCGAATTCATAATGTGTATTAAAACAAAAGAGATTACGCGCAGCTAATAATAAAACAATTAATGAACCCATAATATGTTCTCATACATTTTTGATTCACAATTATGGATCTAGTCCGGACACGTACCAATCGATGGTTTTATCATGGCATCGAAAAGTGGATATGTAGTTCCGTCTAAAATGGATCTACGGGGCGCCACTGAAAAACGACGACATGGCCCCTCTCAGGATTCTTTCTGCTTTAAGGCTTAAGAGATTGACCAATCACAGTCAAGTATGAAGAGAATACTCGCCTGTGATTGGTCAATCTCTTAAGACTTAAGGCTTAAATTACCTATTGTAGATCGGGTCTAAACCGTCTTGTGATTGGCTATCTGCTTGATCCGCTTACGCGAATTTAATTTATAATTTATATTAATATAAGATAAAATATTGTAACTGTTGTTTAAAATAAAAGCAAGCAGATTAAATATTTATTCTATATTATTGGATGTAATATAAAAATAAGATTGATAAGTGAATAATAACAGAAATAAGATTTTCAAAATGGCGGGATGTTACACATGCATCTATTTTTTTTCTCCACTTTTTCGATCGATATGAATGTGAATGTTGTATGTGTACTGTGTCCTGTCTCCCGCGCAAAACTTAACAGTTTTCAAGGAGGTTAAGGAACGCTTCCTTTATCGTTTCTTCAGGGACACATAACATTCATTATCGTATCCCGAATGAGCGTGAAATACGTACAATTATGGCAATAATAAAGGTTACATTCCCGTCAGACGGTCCACCCGGTAAAATATTGAAATGGAGAGTACGTTTAGATACAATGGTCGCGGTGGGTAGGATATTGTTACTGTATCAAGATGTTACGATGACAGACATCGAGAACGAGAGTGCTAAAAAATCCGAAAGAAAATTGCGAGCCACAATTTTCGGTCGCGTCAAACAAATCCTCGCCAAGGAGGGTGACGTCATTCAACCTGGGTATGATATATATATGTCTTACCATATTTATAAGATTCACATATCTAAGTATTTATATACATTGAATTAAGATTAAATATATTTTATATGTTTGTTTTTGAAATAAAGATTTAATAAATGTTATAAATTATATTACAGAACTATTCTAATATATTAATGTATATATAAAAATATAATGTATATATAAAAATATATAAATAAGTTTTCTACTATTGTGTTATAAAATTCAATGTTTATTAACAAATTATACATATATAGTTACAGTAAAAGTGATTTCCATTATTTTTCATTTTTATTTTTCAGACATGTTATAGATTCTAGATTGATAGAAAGAATCTAATCTTTATTTTCAAAGAATTCATTAAGACATTTTTTAATTTTTTCGACATTTCTAAATTTTCCGTCAGATAAGACATGCTGCATCAATCAGAACAAATAATAGTTGAAGATGGTGAGTGTGCCATATAAGACAAGAGAATCTAGTCAAATTTCAATAATATGCCTTTAATCAATTTTATATAATTTTCATATAAAATCAAACAAAATAGGATATGATTTAGTATGAACTACTTAAGCCTGACGAAACAATAATTACAGATTGTTTTCATTGCTAATTACTTTGTTTAAGCAAAGAGTTGAAAAGAAAATGACCATTTTTCAGGAAAATCGTTACCTAGATGACCTTTCCTGAAAGATGGAAGAAAATACTATAAGATGATTGGGTTTATTTTTATGATTAAACTTTACATATAATGCTTGCATGATAATACTTGATCTTATATGATAAAATTGATTAAGAGCACATTATTGAAACTTGGCTGAATTATTTTAATATTTATAGGACATAATGTCTTCAGATTATTATTTATTCCGATTGATACATGAACATTTATGATTGAACTGCACATGTATAATTTCCTAATAAATGTTGAATTTCTTTCAGGAAAAATAATGAAAAACTTATTTGTATACCTGATTTATATCAAGTAAACAAATACTTTTCATTGTTTAATTAAATATATTTGCATTTTGCAACATCTGCATAGTTTGTTAGTGTTCCAGGGAAGAGATAGCACTACTCGAAGGATGTACGCATCCTACTGTGATGATAGATTTGTGCGCAGAATGTGGAGCAGATTTGAGAGTGCAAGAAACTGGGAAAGATGGAAATATAACTGGAATATCACAAGCAAGTGTGCCTATGGTACACAGTATACCAGAGCTAAAAGTATGTCCCGAATTAGCTGAGAAAATTGGAAAAGAGGATGAACAACGTCTTTTAAAGGATCGAAAATTAGTATTACTTGTGGATCTTGATCAAACGATAGTTCATACTACAAATGATAATATTCCACCTAATTTAAAAGTAAATAGATATTTTATTATATTGAAATCTCCATGGCATAAAATGTCAATATTATTGCAATTTGAAAATCTTTATTTTTTATTTATTTCTTTTTTTTAAGGATGTTTTCCACTTTCAATTATATGGACCAAATTCCCCATGGTATCATACTAGATTCAGACCAAACACTCGACATTTCCTCTCAGAGATGAGTCATTTGTATGAATTACATATTTGTACCTTTGGGGCAAGAATTTATGCACATACTGTTGCATCATTGCTAGATAAAGATGGAATTCTGTTCTCTCATAGGATACTTTCTAGAGACGAATGTTTTGATCCAGCGTCAAAAACTGCAAATCTCAAGTAAATTTATAAATTAATCATTCTTAGATATTTTCTTGTATAATATTAAGTTTGTTTCATTTTACTTAAATTTGTAGTATTAACTTTATAGGGATAAAATTTTATTCTTTCTATTATGTTCTATCTATTGTAGAGCTTTGTTTCCATGTGGCGATGATTTAGTATGTATCATAGATGATAGGGAAGATGTGTGGCAAGGATGTGGAAATCTGGTTCAGGTTAAACCCTATCACTTTTTCCGTCACACTGGCGATATTAATGCACCACCAGGATTGGAGAAAAGTGATGTATCGCCTTCATCTGAGCTTGCAAATATAAATGAATCAAATGTAAATGATTCACAAAATAAAGACAACAAGAATGAAGTGTCTGAATCATTAAGTGAAATCAGACAATCATTGTCAAACAATTCCTCAGTAAAAGAAATAGATCATGAAGAAGAAAAAGATGAACAAATTGAGAATAAAATGAAAGAAACAAAGAACGGAGATAGTAAAGTGAATATTGAAGAAGCTGCAGATTCCAATATTCAATCTAATATTGTGAAAGAGGATAGTAAAATAAATACAAAAATGATAGAAGCTGTATTGCCTGTGAAAACAATAAAGGATAATGAGCAAGTGGCGTTAAAGCAGGAAAGTGATATAATAGATGAAGATGACGATGATTACTTATTATATTTAGAAGATATTCTTCGAAGAATTCATACCGAATTTTACGCTATATTGGATCAAGGAAATGATCGAAAATCTCTTCGGGATATAATTCCGCGAGTACGTTCTCAAGTATTAAAAGGATTGTGTTTAACTTTTAGTGGCTTAATACCTACTCATCAAAAGCTTCACCAAAGCCGTGTATATAAAGTCGCGAGAGCGTTTGGAGCGGAAATAACTCAAGTAAGGAAATTGATTGTATTCATTTTATTTATCATATTCCATTGTATTTCTGTAAAGATAAAATTTGACTAGGATTTGACGGAGAAAACTACGCATTTAGTTGCTATTAGAAAAGGTACAGCTAAGGCAAATGCAGCCCGAAAAGATGCAAACATAAAAATCGTAAATCCAGAATGGTTGTGGACATGCGCGGAACGCTGGGAGCATGTGGACGAGCGTCTGTTTCCTCTCACATCACAGGTATAAATACTATAATTTTACAATGTTGAATTAGATTATTTAAGTAGATTTGTATTTCTCAAGATTGTTGTTTTGAAATCTATACATTGTTTCAACATTAATAATAAACATGAAGTATCGTAGGCTCGCGGATCAAGAGTACCACCACCACACTGTAGTAGCCCTGAACGTGTCGAAGATCTAGAAAACGATAATACAAATTCTTTTGCTAGTTCTATCAATCCATTAATGTCATTCACTCAAGAGGAAATCGAATTTATGGATAAGGAAGTAAATGAGGATATGGAAGAACAAGACATTACTTTTGAAAGTGCGGATGACACAGAAGAATATGGAATAAAAATACGTTATCGGAGTTCTGATTCTGAAGATTCTATAAATGGTAAGAGAAACAAAATGAAAAAAGAGAGAGAAAGACTATACATTATTCATAGAATTTTATCTATAATTTTTTTTATGTACTGTATAATACATAAAATATAAGAAACATTATATAAAATACATATTAGAGAGAAAGTACATACTTAAAATAAATACATTGTAGATTTTTTTAAATTATAAATCATCTATCTATACATACATGCATACATATATAGATACATATCTTTTAATTTGTAACAAAATGCATAATTTTCGAGTGTTTTTAATAAGATTAAACGATGTTTTTTTCTATATTATTGATGCAGGTGAATCAGATGTGCCAAAAAGGAAGAAGAGAAAGATTTATAATGGCAATTTTGATCAAGGTTTTTCACATGATAAAGATGAAAAATATAACAGTGATAATAATGATGATGATGATGATGATGATAATGATGATGATGATGATGATAATAATAATGATGATGATGATAATTATGACGATGATGATGATGATGATCCCGTTACATATTTTAGAAGAGGGCAAGATTTGCCTAGTGATTTAGATCTTGGTGATAATTCACAGGATTCAATAGGTGATCTTGAAGGAGATAATGAAGATGATCGAGAATGGAACGCGTTGGGTGCTGCGCTTGAAAGGGAGTTTCTTTCTGAGTGATAGATTTGAATATTCTTATAGATTTATAGTATTCTGAATATTGAATATAATTTTCCTTTTTACTCAGGATGTCTTGTGTTATTTGTAAATTTCAAGTTCGATAGCTGAAGCAGGGTTATTGATAATAATAAATATTATGTCTGTAATAAGTTATTTGTGTACTCTGATTTAATCAGAGCAAGATATAAAAACATTAAACGTTTGAAAAAAGTAAGTTAAAATGATTAATCTACATATAAGGTAAAAAAATATAAAAGTAAAGAAAACTTTTCTTTTTCCGTTAAGTAATTTTTATACATTGAACTTTTTTAAGTTATACAAATGATGTATAAAGAATGTACACGACATTAATCATATACTTACACAAGAAAAAATAAGTTTCAGAGATAAAAATTCTTTGAAAAGAAGTTATTTAAATAGTACTATATAGTTATTATAATAATATTATCATAACATTGTAAATATCATTGAATATATTTGAGATATTTTCTCGTGCAAAAGGATATATCAAAAGTCAATTTTAATCTAATAAAAATATAATATTAAGGGATAGAACTTTTTAGAACTTATATTTTTATTAACATATTAATATTGATAATTATAAGTTTTTTTATTAAAATTTTAGAATGTATAGAGAAAATTGAAAAATAAAAATCTGTAAACAGATTATTTGTATAATAATGTATACACACACACATGCATAGATTCTATATGAATATTTTTAATTTATTAACCATTTTTTTAATGTTATACAAGTATTCTTTCAGTATACTGTATCTGGTTGTGGTTCATGAGGATCATCATAATATTTCAAATACATTTTCTTATGAGTGAAATCTCTTACACCTTCCAATCTTCCTCTTTTTGGTGCTTTTGAATAATCAAAGACAGAGTCTTTTTTGCCAAGTAATTTGTCGGCTTCATCTATATCCTCTCTAAATTTATAAAAAATTAAATATATATATATATATATATATATATATATATATATATATCTATTTTTGACATTAACTTCTAAATGGTGATTACAATTTCTTTGTAAAACTTAATGACCAACATACCTATATTGACTTGCGACAATTTTCTTCCCTGTAACTGGATCTGTTATATCACCTAGAGGATATATCACTTCAATAACCTGCATAATATGATCTTATTAAATATATAAAGAAACATCCAAAATTCAAATAAGCTCTCGATATTACTCAGTATTACAATGGCAATAAATACTGCTGACATAACATACATACTTCATGCGAAATCAAACGTGTTAGTTTGTTTGATAATTCTTTGATCAAGATTACATCGCCGGTTTTGCACAGTTTCTTTGGATCATTGGCATAAACAAAATCATACTTTTTGTAATGCTATATAGTCAACAAAAGCGTAACTTCAATTAGCAAATTATTTATATATATAAATAAATAAGTGTTTTATATATATATCACACATATACTAACCATATGAATGTGATCGTTGAATTCTAATTGTGATATTCTGACTTTGGCAGCATTTTGTTTGGACGAAGGTACGCATGTTCCAAGAAGATATCGTAACGCGGTTTTACTCGCACGAGCTGCTCCGCCGACCATTTTTAAATACGATAAAAGCCTTTGTATTTTGTATATTGAATTCTATTACATACTGGAACCAAAACCAGAGAGAAGCCTAAGATAAAGTCACTAGATTAACAAAGTACTGCAATTTTGATCTCAATAAGATAAGCTGGAGCAAAAATGGCGTCCGATAGTATAGATATAGGCTGCGATTGTTGCATTTCTCCACGCAACAACCTGGCCCTTTTGATATTTTCTTCTTTTTCTGCGCAACAGAAGGAGTTTTCTCACCTCATACACACAACAGGACACAGGACAAACCAGGATCAAGGTTAGAAAAATTGCACTTAGTATAGATAGCTACAAAGTGTGCACTATGCGGTACTTTGTTAATCTAGTGACTTTACCCGCGAGAATGTCAAGGTTCGTTCGAACGCGTGACGCGAGTAAACATAATACACGCATGTATGTGCGCCAACAGCTCTTTTAAGAAAATACTCAGGACTGAAACAGTTTCACCAACTGGTCAATTGACGAGTTTTTTGTATCAGTGATTGGTAGAACTGTCTCATATATGAAATAGTTGAACTTTTTTGAAAAGTTTATTCGTCGTTGTCGCGATATTAACGTCCGGAATAAGTGGAATATATTCGTAAGATATATACAATTTTATTATTAATAAATAGTTGATTGCTCTCGAAATACTCGATTATACGATAGGAATCAATATTATAAATTATTATTTTGTTGCAATCTTTACGAGCAATGATTATTCTTCTATTTCTATTTCGTTTCTATCCTAATATATATGTGTACACACACACATTTAGAATTCTAATATAATAAATAAATATTCTCTCTGATATCATTTGATCTAAATATAATTTGATTCAGAACGCGCAATAAAATGATCGAATAAAAATCAGATAATTAACATAACGGAAATATATATTTTTAAAGTTATATACAAGTGTATTTATATACAAGTATATCTTTAAAGTTACACACACACACACACACACACACACACACACACACACACACACACACACACACACGTACACGTACACGTACACACGGATTAATTATTTATTAAACGATTAATAATTTATTAAACACACATCTTTAAAGTCACACACACACTCACACACACACGTACACGTACACACGGATTAATTATTTATTAAACGATTAATATACTTCGTGAAGTTATTTCCATTTTTATTTGCAATTATGATCTTTAATAAAGATTTCTCATCATAATAAAAAAATTTTATATGGTTTATCAAAAGTTTAAATTAGATTTAAAAGTATATTATTACCTCTTTTCAGCGATAATAATTGATTATTTCACTGTACCTATTTCGTGAATAGCTATCATTACAGAGATCGCGTAGAGTTTGACAATGTAATAAAATTAATAATAAAATTCCAATAAAATTAAATACAAATTAATTATAATAATTAAATATAAATTTGTTTATAATTAACTTTTTCTACGTTCAGAAAAGTTCTTCGTTTCTTTTGGAATATCTTAAAGATTCTTTTAATTAAATTTTACAAAATATATACCTATTAAATTTATAGTATTTAATATTTAGAAATAAATAGATAATATTTCCTTTTTATATAGATTAAGTATACGATATTATTTATTAAAAGAGCTAATATATCTTTTATGGATCTTTTTGTTAAGTTAATTATTTAGATCTACGATTCGATTATTTTACTGCATTTCAATCCGAATTATATATTTAAATGATCGAAAAATAAAACGATAATAAAATAATAAGCAATATATCTATGTTAAAAATAGTGTATATAAATAATAAATAATAAATAATTTTTATAAATTACTCACCGCATGTCTCTGGCTGCTTCAGGCTCTCTCCCTGCTTTCTGACTGTCCGATACTTTTCCATATGTCCTTCTCTTTTGTTGTTTCATCCTTTGTTGTTTCCTCGTAGCAGTCACGTATTCACTCGCGAACAAACAATTATATTTCAGTTAATTATATTTCAGTCATATACAGAAACGATCGCGAGACACTTTGCACGGCACTCCCGATCGCAAAATAATCATATGAGATACGTATTTTTATAATATTATTATTATTTTATTATTATTGCAAGAGAGGAACACAAAAATTACAATAATTCGCTCGATTTTTAAACGAAGCCAAAATCATGCACCACTCGATTCTTACACTAATTAACTATTTCTATTTGTTGATGTATAATATATGCATAATAACGCGAATCATAAGATTAAAATATTAAAGTAATGTAAATTGATTATACAACAATCGTTTAATTAATATGATATATATGCATGCAGTTTAGGAAAGTTTAAAACATCGGGCGAAATCGAATTTCATTCTATGCAATGTTAAAGAAATAATTATTATTCGTAAAGTTCGATAATCGGAGAATATTGTGAGAAAATTTGTAATTTTTGCCCCTTTCGCTTCAATTTTTATTTGCAATAATGAAAGATCGCGTTTCGATGAATTTATCGTTGCCACAATTGCATTTATTATAAGAGTTAATTATTTGTCATTTGTAATAGTCGAATTATTATATTTCGATTTAATTGCGATCGTACCTTTAGGAAAAGAATTCGATACAGAGCGGTCCGTATCGCTACTTTCTCCGTTGGAATGTTGCCGTGCGAATGAGGGGAGGTCGTCGCGTATGGAAACAATAGCGCGCTACGTCACAAGGTCGAATGACGTGTTAGCTCGCTACGTCACAAGATCGAATGACGTGTTAGCTCGCTACGTCACAAGGTCGAATGACGTGTTAGCTCGCTGCCGAAATATTTAACGTGTACTGTGACGTATGTGAGAATTGTATTTATATACAAGTATATTTTTAAAGTCACACACACACACACACACACACACACTCACTCACTCACGTACCTGAGAAAAAAAAGTTGTTAACTCGACTAAACCGTTTAACTAAATTATTATTTTTTTAATTGAAATATTGAAATATTTAAGTTAAATAAATGTCATGTTAGATTTATAATAGTTAAATATTCCAATTAAAAAGATAATAATTTAGTTAAATGGTTTAGTTAAGTTAACAACTTTTTTTCTCAGTGTACACAGATTAATTATTTATTAAACCTCACGAGATGTATTAATCGTTTAATAATATAAGTGTATTTATATCCAAGTATATTTTTAAAGTCTCATACACACACGTACATTGAGAAAAAAAAGTTGTTAACTCAACTAAACCGTTTAACTAAATTATTATTTTTTAAATTAAAATATTGAAATATTTAAGTTAAATAAATGTCATGTTAGATTTATAATAGTTAAATATTCCAGTTAAAAAGATAATAATTAGATAATTTAGTTAAATGGTTTAGTTAAGTTAACAACTTTTTTTCTTTTACAATTAGTCTTTTCTCTGTCTACTATTTGATTGTTTTATTACGCTTTTACAAAGTCAGGTTCTATAATGTAATTTTTAATTTTGTATTTTATATGAAATTATTATTTTAAACATATATAAATAACATATATAAACATATATAAATAACAATAATTTTCTTTCTTTGCATTTCTATCATGAATAGACATTTCCAGCCTTTACTAAAAAACTAAAAATATTCCTCAATTCTTTCTCTCTTCGGACAATTTATTTACATTTATATATAATTCTCTTTATTCTTTTAAAAGTGAACATCGAGAACAAGGTACACGAGTATTGTAAATGTCAAAAAATGATCGCGCGAATATTATAGTTGTGAATATATAAAAATAAATGCAATATACTGATGAATTTTCTACGTTATATATTGAATCAAAATTGCACAAAAGAGGAAAAGAAGAACAAGCCTATGAATAGACATTTCCATCTTTACTAAAAAAAAGAAAAATTAAAAATATCTCTCAATTTTTTCTCTCTTTCTTCGGGCAAGTCTACATATATGACCAATATGATTAATTAATTCCATCTTTATATTTATCATTATGTGCTATTAATTAAAGCCGTAGACAATATTCAGAAATCAAAGTTGCGCGCAGGAATGGCCATGCGCAGTGGTTCGGCAGCCATGTTGGCGCGTGACTGCTACGCGTCATACGTGACTCGGAGTCATACGCAGTTACACGGATCGTCGTACATCCGCATTTTTCGCATCTTTTAACCGTTTTTAAACGAATATCGCGAGTAAACGAGCGTCGAGAGTGTCCAAGGATGATCGCGCGACTTTTATAGTGTGTCGATGGAAACGCGCGACAGCGATTTTTGACGATATTCAGTGATGGCGTCATCGCGAAGATGGAGCGAAGTTTCATCGCGTTATTCGTGCCCTTGATGATGATTATCGGATGCGAGCGAGTATCGGGAGTGCCGAATAAAGTGTCGCGCGTTCACGTTGATGATATCGTGTGGATTTGTGTGCATCAAGATCGGAATGGGACGTCCCGAGGCGAGCGAACTGTCTCGAGGAGGAGCGGCCTGTGGAACAGCCGGTGAGTAGATTTGATTTATCATATTTGCGTGATAATTTGTGCTCATTCGACGCTTATACAGCATCGCGATGTCCCGAATTACATTCGGACAAATCGGCATCATAATTCGATTCGGTACAATTCAAATAAAGTCGATCGCGTGAAGATGGTTATGCTAGAAGCGATTTCAAATTTATTTTGTACGCGCGCGCAGTACTGTACAGCCTATCTCGTAGGGCTGCCAACTGTTAAACGATAAATTTGTTTGATCTAACCTAACCTAACCTAACCTAACCTCTCAGTGTCTATCAAATGTAAACACAAGCGTATGCTGCCTGGATTGTATCATGCTTTCAAAAATAATATTTAATTATTTCATTAGTGTATTACATTTTATTACGTAGTATATTAATCGTATTAAATGTGCGACGTACAGTTTTACACATTTTAACGAGGAGCATATAATATAATTGGTTAGGTTAGATTAAATTAAAACAAGCTGCTGTGATTCATTTAACGTAATAGGATTAATTTGACGAATGTGCAGCTATTGAAGTTACATGATATTTGTGGACACATTTTTAAAGTAATCATGAGTGTCTTATCTCATCTTGATTATATGAAATTAAAATATAAAATATTTATGTATTCCACATTAATGTTATTCATTAGAAGTACTATATTACTTTTCTTATATCTCAATCATATTTCATCGATGAAGCTTTTCATATATCGCAGACAATATGATACTGTGTGTGCAATTTTACACAGGTAATACATGGCACAAAAATAATTTGTTCTCAAGTATTGTGCGCATTTCTCAAAAATAAATCAAATTAAATTATTTTAAGTAGGATCCAAAAATCACTACATTGCCAGGATCGTATCTTATTATAACTGCGATATTATCACCTTTTAATATGTGTGCGCAGTATTACATACAT